CTGAGCTATTAGTTAAGTTCTCCCCAAGCGAGCTCGATGGGCCGAATGGCCTCCTCTCGTTTGTATAGTTCTTATGTTCTTATGTACTAAATGATTGAGAGTTTCTGGTAACTCAGTAACTCACTTTATGGCCTTTTTAAATAAATGCCAGATGGATCTGCCCCGTTTTTTGATGGGCTTCTTACACTCTTATGCCCTAACAGCAAACACAGTGGGATGAGAATCGTGACTGACACAAATGCTATGTACCGCTGCATTATAAGCCTTCCAATGTGTTATGCTGTTACCTAACCTAGCTCGTTGCAGTTTGCACAATCAAATAAGATAATCTTTATGAAACTTGATCAACATGAGACCATTAAATTCCACCAATTCTGCCTTTTATTAATTAAGGTTTTCAATAAGTTAAGTTTACATACAAATTGAAGCCGTACCACACTTTTCCGCTTACCGCTCTCTATATGTTGTCGCTTTACTTGCGGGTCTGGAAGTTAGCATCTGCAAGCCGGAGCGGGAGTTTAGAATAAACCATTTTAACAGAGGTTAGGGGTTCTCCAAATAAAAACTAAAGTTATGTAATGAGCTATTTTAATCCTAAGCGTTTTCTTGTAAATTAGGCATTATATGTGATATTATTGAGGGGGATGATCCCCTCCCTCCATCTTAATATTGGACCTCAAAAAAATAAAAAAATAATAAACGATCCGTTCAGCTGTTTAGAATACTTGTGTTAAGGCAATATTCAGAATGTACTGTGATACGTATCGTGTCGTTGCCCCGTATCGTATCATGAGGTTGCTGGCAATACCCAGTCCTAAGTGCAACCAATGCAAAAAGTAAGTCTGAAGCCCTGTAGTGTTAAGTCGTGCCGTATTGTGATTATTGTGATAATTCTGAAACCTTTATCACAGATACAATTGCAACTGGTCAAACTGAGAGACAAAATGGAGTCTGAAGCTTTGTGATATTAGATTAGACGCATCCCACTATCATTCATTCATCGTCCACTCTGTTATTGACTGAAGCACCATTCATTTAATGAAAATATATCCAAGTGCCACTTGCTAACCTGCAGTGTCTCCAGCTTCTCCTGCTGCTGTCTGATCTTTTCGGTTATCTCCCTCTGCTTATCTTCCACAGACTTCGTGTCCTTGCGCATCACCCCAACTGGTAGGTTCTGCTTCTGCTCTGGAGCATCACACCTAAATGGAATGGAAACTGAAGTTACAGCTGCACTATATTTTCTTCATTTATCACATACTTCATTTATCTCATGGTAAAAAGCACCTACAGCAATCCAAGGCTGGATTTCAGTAAAATGAACTACCTGTCCTGGGTGCTATCTGGATTCATCAAACAGACCCAGCTGTCAGGATACCGCTTGTCCACAGCATCCAGTTGGAAGGGAAGCGTACGCCACTTCAGGCACTTGTCTATTAAGACAGATACGGCTGAAACTTGAAACTTCTGGCTTTTAGTCTATATTAAAATACTAGGTGACATGACGGTATCAGGAATGTAACAAAAGGGTTTTCAAACGACAGCACAGCAGGCTTCACTTACCACACTGAATGGTGACAGGGATCTCCATGGCACGCCGCCTCTTATATCGCAGATCATTGGAAGGGGGCTGATTCCAGTTGGCCGAAAGGTAGCCAAATTCGTCCCAGAATTTGACAATGCCCTTTTGTGCTGGAGAAAGCAAAGCAACACAGCAGTACCACAGTGAATACATTGCAAGAACTGTTTGAGAGCTGAGATTATAAAACATTGCTCATCTTTACTACCCCCATAGAATGTAATCAAAGTCATATGAAAACAACAGCCTGAGTTTAGCCTTTGCAGGTTTTTTTTTCTAATCAACTATAAAAGTAATACTCATTTACCATGCCAAAAAGAATAAAAATAGGTGCCCATTACTCTCACCAATGGCAACATCTTTCCAGTACTGGGCCAGGTGGTCACCCATGGCCTTCAGCAGATGTCTGTACTCCTTGGCATCCGCAAAGTCTTGCTTGTTGTGTGTAGGCTCAAGGACCAGGTAAGGAACATCAACCACACCCACAACTCCACCACAAGCCCTGCAATCAACCAAGTCATTCGCCATTACCAAACACTGAGCTTTACCACCCAAATCCTAGTCAGAGAAGACTGGACATTAAATTAAAAATTAATATGTAACTTAATTGCATTATTTTGATGGATGTGGGTTTCTCTGAGCAGCATGCCCGCACAGGTCCACTCACATGCCTCCCTCGAGCTGCGGCCCCACTTTCTCGTACATCTTGATGAGGCGACTGCAGTTGTAAATGAACATGCCATCCAAATCTCGTTGTTCAATGTTCACCCCAAAAATAAAGTTTAGTTCCTTGGGCTCTTTGAGGGCTCTGGAAGAACCAAGAAGTATTAGGAAACAGTGGGGCTAAAGAGTGAACTAACAAGAAAATATGGTAACAACAGAAACATAAAGTGTTTAAACAGGGCGTGCTACGATGATGGAAGGTCGCATTACCCGATTGCAGGATTTTTGTGGGTAAATAGGGTAAAACCTATAAAACTGACGTTCAAAAAGACAAAAAACTTTCATGAAACCAGCCTACAATCCCTACATCATGTGCTGATGACTCACTTCTGTTTGGTCTCCAAGATTTTCCTCTTTATGTCTGCCTCCTGACGTAACATCATGGCTGATTCCTGAGCCTTGCGGAACATAGCCTGAAAAAAAAAAGGGTATGCCTTCAGTGCCATGGCATAGACCCCAGACACTCTATGGTATGCAGCTATCGCAGGATGACATCTTACACGAGCTTCCCTGGAGAGGTCGTCTCCCAGCTTCAGCTCCAGAGCGAGGCTTTTGCTCTCTGCTTCCCTAGCCTTTTCTTCAGCTAGAGATAGAACATGTCATACAACTTCTTACCTATCAATGCGCTATACAAAATTTCAATTTTCCATAATAACAAGACAATGGAAAAGTATTGTCACAGAAAAGTCATTCATAGCTAAAGAAAATTACAAAAGTGCAGCTTGAAAGTTTATTGAACAGGAACCAACAGGATAAAGAGCTAGTATATCATATGCAGTGCTTATTGAACCTTATATACAGTGGTACCTCAGTTCTCGAACTCATTAGAACTCGAATTTCTTAAAAGTCGAACAAACCAGTTTGAAAAAAGTCAAACCGTGAATGCCGACCTAAGATAACTTGGCCACGTGGGGAAATGAGTCATGCAGCACGTCTCTCAGCGGAAACAAAGGGTAACGCTTCAGTCTCAGCCTTGCATTCGCTGTGACAGCATCGTGCATGTTTACACTAGCTGAATACATATACAGTGGAACCTCAGCTCTCGAACTTAATCCGTTCCGGACTCCGGATAGAATCCTAAAAAGTTCGAGTTCTGATCGAATTTTTCCCATAAGAAATAATGGAAAACCAATTAATTGGTTCCCGGCCCCCCAAAATTACACCTAAATATGTTATTTTTTTTAGCATTTAAACACAAAATGAACAGGATAAAACAAGAGCAGCATTTTTTTCTTAATGGCTTCCAAAACAATAAAGATCTTATCCCAACATTACCCCTGTCCTGCCCCGATCACCCACTCCTTCCGTGTGCCACACCCCCTCGTTAACCTCGTGTGGGATCCCCATGCGATCAGCTGTCATTAGTCCTCTGTATTAAGTCCACGTTTCAGTTTGTTTCCCCAGTCTGGTCACTGGGTGCGTTCGACTTGCTTAAAGCGCTGGCTTAAAGCAACACATTCTGATCCTGACGCAATGCATTACGGTTAGATACATTGCGACCTCTCACCCGGCTGCACAAACTGGAACCGCCTCCGTGACGACACACCTTTGCCCTTATTGGCTGAAGAGTTTAGTTACACGCATGACGTTTGTATCCCAGGCAGTTCCAATGCGTAATCTGCTATTTCTCCCGAATATCACATAAAGCAGTGAGAACTGGTTTTCAGTTAATTTACCTGGTAAAATAAAATTTTAATAAATTACATAAATGCTCTAATAGTACACGCAAGTTAATGGTTTCTTTATTGTTAGTTACTGTAATGTTGCGCTGCTTTATTTAGTTAATCGTCCAGTTTGTGAAGAAGGCATTCAAGTAAGAATTGCATTGTAGTACGACTCATTTCCTGGTGCGTACAATTTATATTAGGTCACTTCTGACTTCTGATATTCAGATCGAGTTCTAGGTCAAACTGGTTTGTTCGACTTTCAAGAAATTCGAGTTCTAGTGAGTTAGAGAACCGAGGTACCACTGTATTTAGAGAGTAAAAATACATTTAGACAATGATAGACTAACAGTAATTATTATTATATAATAAAATACATTTAAAAATAAAGATTTCTTATTTTAATATTAATAATAAACCATTAATACATTTAATTACAATAATATTGACGTGCCCAGCGGGGAACGGAGACAAAGGCGCAGACGTCAGGGTATCGCTGAATACGGGGTTCAATTACAGGTAAGGCAGGCAAAAGGCAGACGGACAATACAATGACCAGACTGGGGAAACAAAATGAAACGCGGACTAAATACAGAGGACTAATGACAACAACCAGAAACAGCTGATCACATGGGGATTCCATACGAGGTTAGCGAGGGGGCGTGGCACACGGAAGGAGCGGATGATCGGGGCAGGACACATTGTTTGGATACATTTATCTTCTTACTTTACAAATTACTGTTTTGATAAATGTGCTTATATGTGTTTAGTACAGTATATGCTCTTTTTGTTTTATCTGGTTCATTCAAATGCTAAAAAACAAAAAAAAAAAACAAAAACATATTTCGGTGTAATTTTTGTGGCCGGGAACCAATTAATTGGTTTTCCATTATTTCTTATGGGGGAAATTTGATCAGAACTCGAACTTTTTAGGATTCGATCCGGAGTTCTGAACGGATTAAGTTTGAGTTCTGAGGTACCACTGTATATCATTTGTAATAAACACATTTAATAATGCCACTTGCAGGTTAAAAGAAAAATTCATCTCAAAATGAGAAACATCTGAGAAAAAAAAAACACAAATCAAACATCTGACAAGACTTCTTCATTGTGTACCTACATATTTTAGCAAGGTGGTCTGCCTTCTTCACCTCTTGTTCTGCCCGGGTTTTGAAGCGTGTGGAGCTATATTTGTAAACTCTGTTAAGGAGAAATACCTGTAAGTTGAAAAACATACGAGGGCGGCACAGTGGTGCAATGGTTAGCACTGCTGCCTCACAACTCTGGGAACTGGGTTCATGTCTATGCCAGGGTTCCATGTGTGGAGTTTACATGTTCTCCCTGGGTTGTCATGGGGTTTCCTCCAGGTACTCTGGTCTCCCCCCCCACAGTCCAAATACATAATGAGGCTAAATGGAGCTACCAAACTGCCCAAAAGTGCACATGTGTTAGTGGATGGTGTGTAAGTGTGCCCAGTGATGGGTTGCTGCACCACCTAGGGTTTTTCCCAAGATGCATGTGTTCCAGTAGACGAATCAATTACATAGAACATTTCTGCATACAAATAACCAGTCAAATCAGAGTCACAAATGTACATTTAACAAATCAAGTCTAAATCAAGATTGAGTCCAACAAGGGGGCAAGTACGAGACAAGACAGAGTCCATTACCACAGCTGGGTGGCCAAGTCCCAGTACAGGAAAACATGTTCAATTCTAGACCATAAATCTGAATTCAAAAACTATAAATTGAATCAAATGGCTAAAGTTTTTCTAAATAAATGATTTGTCAAACACAACATTAACAGAAACACAGCTCCACTGCAGTTTCACTGTAACATAACCCTGCGTCTCTCTGCAGACCAAGGTATGTGATGTGCAAGAATAGGAATTTCAGAAACGGGGATTAATAAAGTACAAAAACAATTATTGTCAGACACTGGCTAGCTTGCTGGATAGCTATTTGCAAAGTTACTGTGCAAAACAAATTATCATGGCCCACTTACTCAGCCATTGCCTCTCAACAAAGTTTGCTACAGTATTAATTTTGTTGATGAAAATTATTCATCAATGACAATTTGACATGATAAAATTAATTATACTAAAAACTATGAAGAAATGTACAGACACTTTCCTCAACAAATAAAGATGGGAAAAAAAGTCAAGAGAAAAATCAGAAAGATGAACTTGAAATGAGTATCAGTAGTAATCAGTAGTTAGTAGTAAGAAATCAGTAAAGTAGTATCTTTAGTCTTGATCGTAGTTACGCATGGTTGGATAATATTGATCTAATTAGACCCAACAAGACCCCAAACCATAAAGTTCTCTCTCTATCCTTATGTTTAATAAACTTATCATTAAACTGCAAAAAGTACAGCCACACCACCCATGTCTTTTTGGCCTGGTTTATCCACAATAAGTTCTAAGAACATAAGAACTATACAAACGAGAGGAGGCCATTCGGCCCATCAAGCTCGCTTGGGGAGAACTTAACTAATAGCTCAGAGTTGTTAAAATCTTATCTAGCTCTGATTTAAAGGAACCCAAGGATTCAGCTTGCACTATGTTATCAGGAAGACTATTCCATACTCTGACTACACGCTGTGTAAAGAAGTGCTTCCTTAAATCCAGTTTGAAATGTTCTCCCGCTAATTTCCACCTATGGCCGCAAGTTCTTGTATTTGAACTAATGCTGAAGTAACTATTCGGTTGAACAGCATCCAAACCTGTTAGAATGTTATAGACCTGGATCATGTCCCCCCTCAGTCTCCTTTGCTTGAGGCTGAACAGATTTAGCTCAACTAACCTTTCCTCATATGACATTCCTCTAAGACCAGAAATCATTCTTGTGGCCCTACGCTGCACCTTTTCTAAGGCCGCAATGTCCTTTTTAAGATATGGTGACCAAACCTGCACACAATATTCTAGGTGAGGTCTCACCAAGGAATTGTATAATCTTAGCATTACCTCCCTTGAATTAAACTCCACACACCTGGAGATATAGCGCAACATCCTATTGGCCTTTCTTATTGCTTCCCCGCACTGGCGAGAATGAGACATGGAAGCATCAACATACACACCAAGGTCTTTCTCATAATCAGCTACCTTTATTTCAGTAGGTCCCATAAAATACCTGTACTTTATATTTCTGCTCCCTACATGGACCTTACATTTGTCTATGTTAAATTTCATCTGCCAGGTATCGACCCAGTCACTAATTAAATCAAGATCCCGCTGTAGCTGCTGAGCCGCTAGTTCAGTATCTGCTACACCACCCACCTTGGTGTCATCTGCAAATTTCACCAGTTTACTGTATATATTGGTGTCTATATCATTTATGTAATTTAGGAACAATAGTGGTCCTAAAATTGAACCCTGCAGTACCCCACTATGAACGCAGGTCCACTGTGACATTGTGCCTCTTATAACTACTCGCTGCTTCCTATCTGTTAACCAGTTATCAATCCAGGTTACTACAGTTCCTAGAATACCTGTCGCTTTGAGTTTAAGTAAGAGCCTCTTGTGGGGGACAACATCAAAAGCCTTTTGGAAATCTAAGTAGATGACATCATACTTCCTGAGTAGCTTCCTCAAAAAACTCCAACAGATTTGTTAAACAGGATCTACCTCTCCTAAATCCATGCTGGCTATCCCTCAAAATGTTGAGTCCAGGTAATCTACCATTTTCTCTTTGATTATAGCCTCCATAACTTTACCAGTTATACAAGTTAGACTGATTGGCCTATAATTTGACAAATTACTTCTATCCCCTTTTTTGAAAATGGGCGTTATGTTCTCTTTCTGTTCCTTTCCTCACCACCGTTTCAATGCTAATAAATCACTTCAATGACAAACCAAAAACAGTAGTAGATGGTAGATGGATTAATAAATGTAAGGATTCAACTAATCTATGCAGATTACTAATTTTTGGGTACCACAATATACCTCATTTATATTTTAGGGATGGGAATCACCAGTGACCTCCAGATATGACATTATCACGATAATGTGCTGGTTTGATATGTACTGTGATTCTGCAAGCATTGATGAATATTCTGACTCAATACTATGATTTTTTCCATTTTTTTCCCTTTCAGAATTTAAAATCCTTAAACCTTGTGTAAAAAAAAAAAACACTAAAAAGTTGGGTCATACCACTAAAGTTTTATTCAATAACATTTTTACTTAAAATTGTTAACAAAAAGCTACAATTGCTGCTGTCATGGCATAAACTACACTGAGCTTTTATGCTTCTCCGCTGTCTTATCAGAGGATGACGTCCAGCAATATGTGCCAGTATGTTTGTCATATTACCACAATACTTAACTTTCGCAGGATAAAGTTTGCATACAGCACGGCTCATGTCCAACTCTTCTTTATTGTTTAAATTTTGAAAGCCAAAGTTCCTCCATACATTTAAACTGGTTTCTCCCAGCATATTTAATCTTAAACCGGGAAGATTTAAACTGTAGAGGAGGGGCAAGAATTAATGGTCATCCACCATTTATGTTATTGCAAAGCAAAATTAGAAAATAATTCACAAGTACCGGACTGCAGGAGGGGCTTGAGAGCACAAGTCCTCTGTCAGCACCAGACCACTCTGAAGCCCCAAAACATCATTCTGTAATATGCCACGGAATGCCGAAATAGTATTGCGTTTTTTGTATGTATGTATGTGTGTGTGCGCGTGTGTGTGTGTATACACACACACACACACACACACACACACACACACACAGTATATACGGGCTTGAGCAACCTTGCGGGTAATAGCACAGGGTCAGTCAAAATGAAGCACCACCGAAACAGGGGGTTAAGGGCGTTGCTCAAGGGCCCTCGGATATGTTACTATTATGCCGAGGCTCAAACTGGCAACTTCCGATCACAGACACAGAGGCTTAGCCAGCTGAGCCAAACACCACCCCCTATTTTCATCAAAATACTAAACAGACTAAATCAAAAGTATGTTGACAAAATTAACACTGGTTCACATTAGTTTATGTACCTGTCCTTATGTATCCAATTCCTATAGACATTTGGGGAAAAAGACCACCTCTATTACGATTTTTTTGCAATATATGCATTCCATATTATGCTTTTTTTTTTTTTTTTAACTAAATATCTTACACAGAAACTACATATGGTTTATGCACGCAAATTGGATAACTGCTGACTTGGAGATGATGAGGGCATGAGTGGGTAAGTTCACAATGTCCGACAAACAGTGAAGCTAATATCAAAACAGAGTAAAAATTGACCTGAGTGCATTTCAAGGCCAAGTCCATTCAAATGACCAGACTTAAGTACCACAACCCTGCTGATCATGTCACAGATTAATTGATAAAATCATGTTTCATATAAAAACACACGTTCACACCATTTTAATGTAAAACGAAGCAAACTAAACCTTACCTTGGCTTATAGAGGCAGCAGGAGAGCCTCTTAGTGCGCACTTTGTGACCTTGTATGAAGATTCTCATCCTGGGGTCGATATAGAGGACAGCTGCATAGGCTCTGAAGGAGCGACGCTCCGGCTTTCTGTTAGACCAGAGTACGATAAAGATGGTCATGGGTCAACAAATCACAAATATACTGCTCTTCCCTTAGCCTAAGGAAACTCTCTAACACCAGACACACACTTACACTCCCTCTGGTGGCATCCCAGCCATGAGGATGTCCTGGCGGTCTGTTTCAACATCCAGCTCAGGCTCCCGGGTATCCATCAGCTTCAGGTTGTAGATAATAACCAGGGTCCCTGAACAGACAACAGTGACACACTCAAGTTCTTTAAAAAAAAATTAAAAATAAAAATAGAAATCTAATATAGGCTACAACTAAATGAATGTCTAATAGAATATTAATATCACGGAAGTTACTGTTGCCAAAGGAAAATTTTTGGTAAAATGCAGGACCCCTTCCTCCCCCCCAAGCTCAGTACTAGGGATGGGAATCTTTAAGAAATTACTGATGTCGGTGCCATCAATTATTCTTATCAATCTGGTTCTTTACCAATTCCCTTATCAATTCCTAATCACTGCAAAATAATCAAATATTAATTTATCACTGATTATAATTAGGCAGACCTGGTTAGCTACATATTTACTAAGAAAAACAATAGTCCTATGCAGTTTTCAGCACCAAAAGCAGCTGTTGTATTAGCTGTAGTGTAATATGAAAAATAAACAATAAATTAAAAATATTTGTTATAACACTGTAGTAACAAGCACACAGTAACATTACCATGAAACCAGCCCATCTTCTTAACACCTGAACATGTTAAACTTACTAAATGCTCCAAAAGTGGACAACACCCTAGCATAATATTACACATCTGCTTTACAATGTAATGACTAGGGGTGTAACAATACATCATTTTGTTTCAATATATCGATTCAACGGCAAACAATATGATGCATCGATGTGACCGCATAAATATCGATACATGCGTTTTTACTTTCTTGCCTGTTCCAGTATTGTTTTCATGATCCACTCTGACGTATACATGGTCTACACCAGGGGTTCCCAATACCTCGATCACGATCTACTGGTCGATTGCAAAGGTAGTGTGGGTAGATCGTATGGCATAAAAAAATAGAGGATGGATGACGTGTTCAACCACGCCAGCTGCTGCAAGCCACCGAGTCGCCAAGTTAGCCTCCAATTTATTTCTACTAAACTTAAGGGTATAAAAATGAATGGGGGAGCTGGACCAAGTAAGAAGCCAAAAACCTACCACTTCCATACGGAATGGGAGGAGGACTGTTTTTCCACCATGTCATATTCGAAGTGTATTTGCCTCATCTGTCAGTCTACCGTTGCTATTCCAAAGAAGGGAAATGTGGAGCGGCATTTTCGGACTGTTCATAAAAACTACGACATTAACTTCCCTCCGAAAAGCGAGCTGAGAAATAGAAAGGTGAAGGAACTAAAATCCCAGTTCAATTCAAAAATACTTTATTTATCCCAAAGGGAAATTAATAACAATAATAGTAATAATAATAATAAATATTAAATAATACTCTATTTTTATAAACAAATATATGTTTCACATTTTTATAGTAAGTAGATCATTTTGACTTGGTTATTTATAAGTAGTTGGCAAGCTAGCGTACTTTCAGAGCGTGTGTTTAGTATGGCAGGTGACATAGGACGATATGCTCAGAGCACACAATCTCCTGAACACGTTGACCATTTAATTTTACTTTTTAAAAAAACCTCCCAAAGAAGAATACTGACATACTTGTTTCACTGCAGAAGTCAGTCATGTTGATCTTCCTCATTCTACATGTCTGTCAATGCAATGTTTTTTATTTGACTTTATTGCACTCTATTTTAATTGCTATTGTTGTATCCCAGCGTAGGGAGAACGAGCAGGGAACGAGCAATCAGGGTCAGGCAGACAGAAATCCAACAAACCGTGGGGTGGGGTTGGGGGTTATTGCAAGCACAGCACACAACACAGGGAAAACTTCAATGACAGATCTAGGGTGTGTTTCCCAAAATCATCGTCGCTAACTATGCTAGCAACTTGCGTGGTTCAAACTATGTAAGTACGACGCAGGTGTTTCCCGAAACCATAGTTCGAACTACAGAGGTAACGATATTGCGGACTTACGTAGTACGATGCATCGTTAAACGACGCAGGTGTTTCCCAAAACCATAGTTCGAACGAACATTCGCAAACACTGTCGTTAAGTTGCGTAGTTCCGGGAAAATACGACAGCGATGGTGGAAAATGCAGTCTAATAAGGGTATAGTCACCGTGTAAGTAAGAAATGCAATAATCTTTAATAACTAATAAGTAATAATTTAGGTCTACGATCACATATAATGTGAAGTTGTCTGAAAATGTAGTTTGAAACACAATTGTGTGGGTCTCTGGTCATAAGTATGGTAACTGTCTAGTGAGCAATAGGGACAATTCTCAGACTGCGAAGTATTGATTAGCACAGGGGTGGCTAATTTTATCCAGAAAGGGTCGTTAGGCATGAAGCTTTTTGCTGCAACTCCGTGCTTAGAGTAGTACATACAGGACTGATCGACTGAAGAGTTCGCACAACTGGGTTTGCTATTTTTCATATTATTGGTGATATGTGACTGACACAAAACAAATGATGACATACAGACATCATATACACATATACACTCACCTAAAGGATTATTAGGAACACCATACTAATACGGTGTTTGACCCCCTTTCGCCTTCAGAACTGCCTTAATTCTAC